GCCTTAGAAATGTTACACCAACACTCAAGCGACAGTGGCATAGATTATGTTACTCACTTGTCATTGCTCTTGGCATCGAATAGGTATTAAAAAATCACTGACAGGAATGAAAGCGGCTTCTTCTACATGCATCAAAAACTTTTGATTAGTTTAAGCTTTGAGAAAAGACAAACCCATATCACCCAGTCCAGATTTTTTGGAACAAGCTTCTCAATGTCTCAAAAACTCAAAAAGAACCGAAGCATTCGCCCCTGTGCGTGTGTGAGAGAAGACGACGGCGTCGGCAGAGACAGGCAGGGGGGGGGGGGGAGCAGAACTTCTCCGGTCACACCTCACCAATATCGGACGCCAGTTCTTTACACCAGTCATTTTTAGTCTCGTGTGTCATTTGCTTCACCCTCGCCCCGTGATAACATTTCTGGCCACGCGCTCACCTCGCCACGCAGATCCCTATCCCGTTACCCCGCCCCCACCTGTTACCACGTGGCACGGTCTGGGGGAAGCTTCCGTTTCAGACTGATGCATAAACAGCGACCAGCTCCGCAGTGGCAGGCGCCACCACGGCCGCCTGCGCTAAAGATACCCCAGTCAGGCAAACGCGACAGCTTCTGCCGGGACTCGAACCCACGGGGACGGCCGCTTGCCGCTCGCGAGCTCAGGGTGTCGTAACTTCACCACCGAAGCGACAGCTGAAGCCCCAGCAGACTGATCTCTCAGGGTAGGCCGCAGCCCCGAAGATCGGCAGCTCCGGTCAGCTGTCTCCGCCAGGCCCCTGCCCACCTCATGTTGACGGTCTTCAGGTGCTTCAGACTGCTGACCGACGCCGGGAGCGCAGTGATCTTGTTGCCGGATAGTAGCAGCGTCTCTAGCTTCGCCAGGTCTCCGAGACTCTCAGGCAGCTGGCCTGGCAAACCACAGGGTGTTTGTGCAGACATTCGCAGCCCGAAAAAGGGAAGAAAATACACCCCAACCCGGAAGCTAGGCAGGCGATAAGAGCGGGGTAAGCAAAACCCGTTTTTCGTTACCAGCAGTTTGTGGTTCCATGGTTACGTGTAGACACAACTCAAACAGTTTAGAACTTATGCAGACACTGAACAGCAAACAATTCAAGAAAGGAGGCGACGAGGCCCACACTCTGCCTTGTCCCATCACACTGTCCCAGTATCCCAGTATGTAGCACGACGTTCTCACATAGAAATTTGATCACATGTTTTTGGGTATTGTTTTGAGATCAGCACTTGCTAAGCACGGCAAGTTATGGAGGACCTGCACCCAATCAAACCGGTCTCGAAACAGCAGTTGAGGTGGCAACCTTACCACCCGGGGAAACAGCGTCGCTGTCATGTTGTACTTTTATAGAGCGGCGCGTGAGTTCCATATTTGATCCAGATACCTACCCAATCTGTTTTGACAGCAGTTTAGGTGCTTCAGCTGAGGAAAAGCCTCCATGGCTCTAGGAAGAGCCGTTAGTTTGTTCTCCGACAGGTCGAGCGTTCTCAGGTTGGCTGCTACCTTCAAAAGCTCGGGCGGCACCTGGAACATGCGTCGGAGCCAGTCAGGCGAGTCAGGTCATGACACGGACAGATCGCATTTGCGGAGCGCGAGCGGCCGTGGTGATCGCCTCTCTTGATCCTCCCACAATCGAGAGGCCGGGGATCCAATCTGGCCGCAGACAGCTGAGGCCGGGGATCGAATCTGGCCGCAGACAACTTTGCGGGCCTTTATTTCCCCACAGGTGATGGCGACGTCAGCGAACTTAGTCGTTTCATGCGTGACAAGTAACTTATCGTAATTTTTCTGTACTTCAATACGCATGGCAACATGTTGTTCCCTCGGAATACCATGACTCTTTGTCCAATCATGTCTCGCATGTTACGGCTCATTACTAACACTGACCAGTCGCGCACCAACTTCATATATTATTGCCTGACGGACTGAACTGGTAATGCTGCCAGGGTCGGTCTTCCCGGGTTAAACCTCCGGAAGTTGCACCCTAGGTCAGAATGAACCGCACTAACGCCGAAGCCGTACAACTATGAGCCACTAAACTACCTGAGGTGATATCTCTTGGTCCTGCTTAAAGTTTTCTCCATGTGCCATATACATAATCCTGATCACTGCCTGTTGCCTTTTGAACTTTTTTTCGGAGCTGGGGCACTCCCGACACTGACCGAAACTAAACTGAAAAGTACGTGTGGTCAAATCGCCTGGAACACCATACAGCATTACAAACTGTTCCACAGGACGACATCGGGTCACTCGTCCCAACATGAACACCATTAAATACATGCCCGAGCGTCAGTCTGTTGGTGGGGCTACCACGTATGGCTTGCTGAAGTGGACGATCCACAGCCAGACCGGTTCGTTTGTTGGTGACGCTGTTGAGACCGGCATTTGTACCTCGGCATCGGATCCTAGTACTGCTGACTCGGACCATTAACCTGAATCACGGCCAGCATCCCGTCCTCCTCCCTCAGCCTCATCCATTCAGCATCCCTCACAGGTCAGACAACATCGTGCACACCAGCGCTGCTCGGAGACGCACGGTCCACATATTGGTTCAGTAACCACTGCCTCATGCAGTCTTTTGGCCAGCGCTGTCTTGCAGCTAACTCTCTTGGGCGTCTTGCGTTCTCTCAAGCCATTGCAGAATCTCAACGGGCGGCCGCCCGCTGTTGCATGGGGATTTAAGACACCTATTACCCCATCCGTCCTTTGACACAGGATTTTAGTGTGAGCTCCCTCTTCAGCCTTGTTGTGCTGTGTAACCGTCCCATCATCAACTCTGACCTTGCTGAATATCCTCTGTTCCATCATCAGCTCTGCCTTTGCTGACTATGCTCTGCCTTTGCAGCCATAGTGAGTCATGAGGTTGAGTGGCACACAATGGTATGATTTAATGCCTGATGTTGCCATGCATGACATAACATTTGCCACTTCAAATTGATTTTTACAAATATACACATAACACAGCTCAATTTTAACATCTTACTTGACAATCCCTATTGTGTCCATTATTGTTTTAGTGCACTAACATCATAAAAAGATAGCTGCACTCAATCTCTTGCAACCTAGGAGAAAGATGCTGGACTCATAATTAAGCAACACTGAGTATTGATTTGCCCTCTGGACTAATTGACCATGGTTTCAAACTGGCCAACAAGGGTCAGCCCAGGCCCCCAGTGGCTGTGCCATGGCATCAATGTGGCACATAAAACCCTCCACTTTCCTGACTAGCGAAAGGGTGGTAGCAAAATATGTTGAACTGGACTGCATGACTTGGGTAGTGGGTTCAAGGCCTGCATGCAATGTTGGAAATCATAGCCTGCATGCAATTTTTGAAGCATTGATTTTACAAGTAGCACATATAAGCATAGATGTAGGCAAGAACAGGTAACCTTTGAAGCATGGTTGTAAGTGACTTTGAAGCGACATAAAAAAAATGCTTGAATGAACATCTGTCTTACCTCAGAGAGGCCACGCTTGGGTAGAGCACAAACCCCTGTCTTTTGTGCATTTTCAAGGTGGTGCTTCAGACTGTTGGCATTTCCCATCTCAAGTAGCTCTGAAATACAGCTTAACACATCACCCCACAGGTTATAGCACTAAAGCATACTCTAGAAGTCAACTGAGATAAGGTGAGATGTTACTTCACTCCCAGTTACATGAAAAGAACAAATAGCTAACTAGAAAAAAGCAATCCACTAGGCTCCATGCTCTTATTGCATATTTGATTCTGCCACATGCTTAAAAAGGCTAGCCAGCTGGCTACAACAGCTGGGAGCAATCAAAGCATACATAATTAACTGCACCTCTAGAAACTAACACCATTCCAAACAAATCACTGTTTTCTATGCAGATGATCACATATATGAGCAACTGTCTAGACACTAACACACTTCTCCACAGTTAATGAGCTACAGGATGATCATATGTAGATTTGAAAAATGAGTTGGGAGGATAAATAGTGAAAAACTACATCTAAATATGCCATCAAATAGGTTTTTCTCAGAATTCAGGCCTCTCACTCCTTGAAGACTAAGGGGGGACTGAGACTTCCACACACTGAATATGAACCACATCCTTAATGCCAGCAACCTCTATTTTCCTACACCTGCAGTTGCAAGGTGATCTCTTCTCACTCTGGCAGGCCTCTGCCTGCCCACACAAGTTTATCTGGGCAGACAGTCAAGTTAGAGACCTGATGAAAGGGCAGGCCATATGCATGACCAATAATTTCATTTTGCTTGCTTCTCTAAAGTTGCACTTCAAAATCGCATCAGGATGGTAATAGCATATCACACTTTACATAACCTAAGATTTGGTCTGCTCTTATAGGTTAAACAACCAGGGTCACCAAGGATATGCACCCCTCATCAAATTTACACATTGATTAGCATGTGAACAAATATTAAGAATGAAAAGTTCCAGGTAAGTGTTTAAACAGATGGGACACATCATGTTATAAATGTCATGCAATAAATTTTGTGTGCATTCCAGCCTGCTAAAAGGGGGTATTCAGAGGAAGTTGTGAAGTTGTGTATGGTTGACCCCAAAATGTGCAAACTGAAACCTATTTAGCCATCCGAACGCCGCTCAATGCTGTGATGTTTCTGAGCATGTATAAAGCCCTATACATACATTTGAAGAGGGGCCCGGTGTAAGAGGAACATTCGGCACTTCCACCAACTCTTCTATAAATCTAGCTCTAGCAGGCTGAAGGCCCCAAATAGCTTGTATTACCTGTGCAAGACTCGTAAACACCCGCCGAGCTCCACCGACCAATGTTCAATCAAGCACAAATATATTGAAACTTAGGCGCAGTTTTTGTATCACTCAACAGTGTGAGCGCATTGGAATGAAACTAAAAACGCTGCTTCTCCCTGCACGTAACACCGAAGTCCAAAGATTTGCCATGGTATTTGAGCATTTTGGTAAAGATGATGCCCGCAAAGAAAGTCAAATTTGCATGCAAGTTTTTTCAACATCGAAATAGACAGCATACAAATCAGTATTGTGGTTCTGTTAGTCGTCGGGAAACGAGCTGCCTATTCTAAGTTTACGAACAGCAGTAAAGTTCATAGTGATCGACGAACTTTTCCAAAAAGATGACTTTCACTGCAGCGTATAAATCAGTGTATTTCCGGCCTCACAGCAGATTTAGAAATCATGATGGTATAAGCCTATGTATTCAAGACTGCCTGTGACTGGCATTGTTGAGTTGTTACAACTGATATATAGCCCAGAATCTACCGCGAGGTTTTTGTGGGCCAATGCAAGACCTCTTTTTCCCTCGACGGCCATTACGGCCATTTCCGAGGGCTGGGGACAATAGCTTCCAGCTTAACGCCAGGCAAATATTATTTTAAACCGACTTATGCTGTCCGACGCAAAGCAAGGGAGAGGCATTGTTGAAGTTACGTTAAGTTAATCTTTTCACTGCTGGTCCAGAGAGATCACAGCGCGTAAAGTAAACCACAACAATAGATATATTGATTTCTCCACCACACAACACGCATTCAATACGCTTGAACGGCAAGTGAGCCTCCTCAGCGGCCCCTTCGTCAGAGTCCTTGGGTGCAGCGATGCCAATTAAGTTTTTAGTACATAAGCTGACAAAATCACACGTTAAATGACTGTGTGAAATAAATCGCCGGCGCTCCTCATTTCACAGGAGTCCAGTGGACTCTTTCTAAAATCGACAGAACTTCGAAACTTTGTTAGAATTTTTATCTGGATTGTACAGAAATAGCAAGGATTTCGTGAATGTAGACTGAAGATCAAAATGGGTCAACAAATTGTATTAACATGGCCAAGCCATGTTTGCCTGGATATCTTCAACATTCAGTCAGAATTAATAAAAAAAAACTCTGTCAGGCGTTGCAGCCTCCCTAGGCCGCACAGCGTCGGCCCTGTAGCTGACACTAAGTCGTGGCCTTCGGGTGGACGATAATAGTGACGCATCCGAAAGAGGTGGCTTTGAACGCTTTTGGACTCCAAATTGCACCTTTGGAGATATTCCGGGCGCATATTTCACCTGTGCGGTTTTTAGATTGATGACAATAACGCATTGGTCTCTACAGCACCGCGAAGCGGTGCTGGAATCTGGTTGTGGAACTGGGGGAGTTAGGGTAAAATTTTGATTTGTCGTGTTACTGTAACTGTTAATTTTTCCAGAGGGCATCCTCAAGGTTGCAAAAGAAGATTCACCCAGGATAATCTTTGAACTGGGCAAATTGATTTAAAAAGATATTCAGAAACATTATTTTACTATTGTTACTGCTGCGCGCTCGGCGCTCGTCTTGGTGTTACTTTCAGTGGCCAACGCCGTTCGGTTTTACGAAAACCCAAGCCCAAGCCATCGCTATCCTCGCTCCCCGAGATAACGGGCGTATCATCAGGGCTTTATGACGCACTCAGCTGCTGGGGCCATATGGCGCCGTCAGCTTCTCACCCTGGCGGGAAGCGCGGACACCGTGGGGAGTCGCATCCCGATCCTGTGGTTTTCCATACGCGCAGTGGTCAACTCAGGCGCGTGACCCATTGCACTCTCGGCCCCTGGCGCGCAGGCCTCAACGTTTTGATGGTATTTGTTTCATTTGTCGATTCTGCAAAACAATGAACGTTCTCAGGGAAACATGGAATGGCCATGTGCGTTTTGAATTCATTTCGACCCACTTTATTCAGCACTAATGAGACCCTTTATTTCCAGTAAAGAGACCCGCTGAGTACGACACTACGGGACACATTGTTATTCCCAGTCAAGAACTGAAGGGTCATTCTGTCCCACCGCGGTGTGCTTTCCGGCCGTCATTCTGGCGGCACGGAGCGGCACCCCATGGTGGATCCGGAGACCCTTGGAGGGATACATCATACCCCATTGGTCCGCTCCGTGACGCGAGAGGCCTTCTGACCCGCACAGTTGACCCCGGATCGACGCATGAACCGTAATTGACGCAAGAACATCCCTGCCCATCGCTGGTGGTCAAATAATTGTCACAAAGACTCCAACTGGGCTTAACGGGCCCATGCTGGAAAAAGGGTTGGAGGGCTCACCGTTCAGGACTGGGGCCCTGACTGGCACGGACTCTTCTATGACTTCACTGTGAGCACTCATCATAACTCCTTGTTTCCTTCAGTTGTCAGAGGGTCCCGAACAACGCAAGAGACGCTCTGCCATTCGGGCTCCCGTCCCCGACCCCGCTAAACAAATCTTTTCCTGACCGATTCCAAGCCACTTGCTGACACAGAATGCCCTGTGGCACTGCAGCCCTTAACTGGCACAGGGGCCCATTATTGTGTCAGGGACACCGAACATTGCAAATCGCAGACTTCGGCCTCGTTTCTGTTTGGGAAATGGGTCTCAAGGGTTCAGACGGACATAAAGCCAACTGTTCGGTGTTCGTGGCCTCTGACCGACTCAGACACCGCATTGTCTCAGAGGTTCCTAAAACGGTGCAAGGACCTCTGACTAACATTTCAGGTCAGGACCCTACGGGCCGCGATTCTTTATGTGATCTACAGCCCGTCCTTCGGCCTTTATGTCCTCCAACCGGGCCTTTGATGGTCAGTTCCGGTGGGCCGCCCGCGCTCTTCTTCAGGCTTCATCAAATAATTCTCTTGGTCGGCTCGGGCACCTTGCGAGCACAGGGCCCTCTGTTAGGCGCTATGGGCCCCTGCCAGACACAAGGCTCCCGACCTGTGTAAATCACTGGTCCTGTCTCTATAGATGATTGGGAAGTGGATACCGACTCAGGCCCATACCGACACGGAGCCGACTAAGTGTTACGGTGATACCTGATTGACTTATAGGCCCGCATCGACTCAGGGGGGTTCCGATAGGTCCAAAGGGCCCCCTGACCGCTATTTGAGAGTCCGTCTTCGCAGGTCTGGGCCCCTGAACAAGACTCCGCCCAGCCTTTTATGCCCTCAGACTCTCCAATCAGGCCCCTGATCGTCGGACCGGGTGGGCCCTCTAGGCTCTTCGGGCCTCCTCGAACACTGATTCTGGCCGAGTCGGGGTCCGTTGACAACACAGAGTCCCTGTTAGGCGCCATGGGCCCCGAGCAATGTAAATCGCTGGCTCCGGCTTTGTCCCTGCTTGGGATTTGGGCCCTTAGGCCCATGCCGGTACGGAGCCGACTGTGCATTACTGGTTGCGTCTGACCGAAATATAGGCACTTATCGACTCAGTGGGCCCCTTATCAGCGCACAGGGCCTGTTGTGAGAAGGTCACTTAAACGAGTATTTTCACGGCAAAAGTTGATTTGAAAGACACTGGAGTAGCGAGTGACTGGACCGTCGTTTGCGCCCGCCGCGGCGTGAGTGGCAACAGGTGTAAGCAGAGCTGGCCCGTTGCCCTTGAAGAAATGCATATAAGACATGAAACAATTCGCCAAATGAAAGGTTTTTACAAAGTGGAACTATTTCTGTCGGCGTCAAGAAATAAATTAAACGGCAGGAAATGATTGTATGTACAGCTGGTGCAGTTAACACGACTAATTTTTAATGAAACCTGATACTGCATAAGGCACCGTGACATCTAGCGAAGTGGGCGACAGGCGCATTTTCAGTGACCGCACTCCACCTTATGTTTCCGAGGGGCCCAAGGGCCCTCGGGACATAAGGTGGAGTGCACGTGCCCGCTGTGCCCCCCCCCCCCCCCTGCCTGCGCTACTGGAGAAGAGTAGTATTGTTCTTGCATTCACCTGTTGATTAATCATACCTGCGTTTGTGAACGGCAACCTTGCCTCGTTAGAGGCAAAGCCCGCGTCACTGCACTCAGGGTGGGCGACGCTGTGACGTTGGCATGGGACTAAGCGATATGGCGCCAACGCTACGGCGGCGTTAAAACGCTGTTCTTCGCGGGTTGGTTTAAACATAAGTTGTACCATAAACTAGATTTTTCGGTCTATAACATTGAATGAAGCATTTTCAGCTGGAAATTGGCGTTGGATGCACCAGAGCTACACGAATATTGCTGAAATGCGTTTCCAAGCTGCCCCCGACAGAGAGATGGTGACGACCCACTCACTAGCGCCTTATCTCAAATAACTCGGAAGTGCCGGAGTGCTTAGGAACAGACGGTGTCGAAGACTACAACAAGCAACAACAACAACAGCACAACAACAACAACATAGGATGGGGATGAAAAACGGCGGGCCTGACGGGCTTGCAGCATCCTGGGATGCGCATTCAGAAGTTGCAATGCACATTCTGTAGCCTTAGGGGGGGGGGGGGGAGGTTGCCAGGGCAGATGCGGGGTTAATCTGCCCTTATGTCCGTAGTGAGTGGTTAGCCTCGGGAGGCGTAAATGCAGCACCCGCCATTCCAGTGCAAGATAGCAAATTTCCTGTAACATGAGACGACTTTTTGACACCTCTTGCAATTTCTGCCAGTCAAAGAATCATTAACTACACCTCAGCTCTGAAATAGTCTTGGGGATTTACAAGGGTAGTCGAGGTGTTATTCCCCACGCACCTTTTTCACATAAACCATTCGAAATTATGGATCTACAAGTTAACCAACGCCTGGGAAGATCTCGATGATGATAATTGGCGTTTTAGGGCACGCCGAGTTCTGGGGGCATTTTGTGCCCATAGCAACTAAGTGGCTACCAAGGTGTATAAATGGCTGTAAATCCTACGCTTGTCAGAAATGAAAACAGCTATCTGAAGCCAAGTATGCGAGAATCGTCACCCATAAGGTCTGAAAAGGTGAGACCTGGTGCATCTAGTCCGAAATGAAGCGCCCGCTCTTCGTTGAACTGTGGGCAAGAGTGAGTCATGTGGC